ATCCAATGTGGCGTGCAGTATGTCCATTTCCTCCAGCTTCAAAATCTTTCCAATCGGCAACTCTTCCTCGGGCTCTCTGGTGTCCTGGCTCTTCTGCACCGGCGATTCTGGTGGCTTCTCCTCGACAGAGGGCCGTCTGCTGCAACCTCTGGAGTCGAAGAGAGCATTCAGCACTTGCTCTTCTAGCGACAGTTCTGTGAAGCTGCCCTCACCCATCGGATTTTCGGCGGCCAGTTGGGTTATAAAATCCACAGCAGAGAGTAATTTTGGAGCCGGAGCTGGAGCAGGACTATGAGACGGTGACGGCACAGAGAGTGGAGATGGGGACGGTGATAAACTGACAAGAATAGGACTAACTTCATCTGGGGTTTCGGGCGCTTTTCTTGGGGACACTTTGTCAGGAGCTGGTGGCTTTTCCACCTGCTTCACCTGGTTGTGTATCTCTTTGGCCATCTCGGCGAGCTTCTCCCGCGACACCTTCAGCTTGTTGGCACTCAGAATCACCTTGGTCTTGGCGGCCTTGGATGAGCTGGGACTGGGATAGGCCTGCACCCGTCGGGCCATCTCTGGCACTGGCCTCCCCTGAGGTCTGCCCTGTGCAGCAGCGCTAGGCAGGCGCAGATCACTCAAATCGATCTTCTCCTCGGGCGTCAGCACCTTGTTCTCCAACACAATCAGCGGCGGCGATGGGGCCTTGTGGATCAGTGGCGCCTGCCACTGCGGCTGTGGCTGTGGCTGTGGCTGTGGCTCCTGTGGTTCCTGCTGCCTGCTCAGCTGTTGCATGCTGGGCACGCACATGGCTCGATGCTTGGGCAACTGATTGACCAAATTCAGAAGCAGCGGCGGCTGCTTCGACCGTGCTGTCACATTCGCCTTGGCTATGGGCGACACAAAGACACTTGACGACATCCCTGACCCCAGGGCAGAGGATGGTGACGCCTTTGGTGCCGTCATTGTGCCTGTTGATGTCTTTGGATGGTTCAGCGTGGTCGTGGTCGTGATCGTCGACTTGCCCTTGTTCAGAATCCGGTTCTTGATCAGGGTCTTGACATGCTGCGTCCGTTCGGCCACAATTTGTTCGGGTATCACTTTTTCAATGTAATTCGAGATGTTGGATCGCCTTTTTTTAGCTGGTGGAGCTGGTAATGGAAAACATATGCACATTAGATATATACATTTAAAAAGTTTACAATTTTAAAACATAATAAAAAGTCGCAAACCATGACCCACAGGAATGGGGGGGAGGGGGAGTGCACACACTGAAAAATATATGAAAAATACATAGCTCGCTCTCTCTCTCTCTCTCTGTCTTCCGACGAACCATCATCCATGCTGGGTTTTGAACCGGAGCCAAAAATTAGAGTCTCGTGATTGGCTCTCGCTCAGACGCCGCCCGCACATGTCCCAAAAACCCCATTTACACTGCACGCTAGCAGGTTATGCCATCGAAAGAATCTAGATAGAGGTGTTGCGAGTTTCACTTGACAGCATTATCTATATAAAGGTCTTAAAAAAAACGGGGGATAATTGAACCCAGAAGGATTCCTTGCCTTTGACATTAGACTCTCTCTAAAGTACAGTCCCCACTCGAACGTAGTTCGCACTCTTGAAACAACACTAGACCATGATGAAATTACATATATGTAAGATATGCCTGCAATATATGCACATAATTTCATCATGCACCAGACTAGACGAGAGCGTAACGAGGGAGAGGAGTGGGAGAGTAAGTACTCCGTAAAAGCACTCGTTCCCTTTCTTGCGCACTCACACACACTAACACGCACACAGACAGACCATGCTGGGTCTTGAACCCAGGCCAAAAAAACCAGCCGTCTTCCGTGTGTGGCGTATCCTAGTCCCTAACCTCAATCGCACAGCACTTTTACCGGCTAGACCATCGAAAGAATCTAAATAAATGCATCCAAACTTTCTGTTGAGGGGTGTCCACAAAGAGGGGATTCAAAAAAAAAAATTAATTTAACCTAGAAATACAGCGCAATAAATCATAATTAGTAAATTGTTATATTCATAAATAATTTACTAATTAATATGTATATCCAAACGATTTAGGCTGCATTTCTGGGTTCATATTTTTTATTTATTTATTATAAAAAAAAAATATATCTATTTTATGATATATTTTTTTTTATTTCTTTTCAAAATATAACCTAAAAAATCATTGGATTAGACTAATTTTATTGGACTTCTGTATCATTTACTCACTAAAAATAAAAAAAAATTTATTTTATTTTTAGGGGATACTTTTCTATATTATTATTGTACAACTTTCTATGCAATTAGATTGACACTGCCGGATGATAAAGTAATTCCAAGCTTAAAGGCCCGCCCCTTCAACAGCCTCGTCCGAAATTCGCCATTTTTATTCCTGTATTTGACATTTGGAAACAAGCAAAAATTGACAACAAAAAAAACAAAAAGAGAGGAACAACAACTTTTTCTAAACCATGATCCTGCTCGAACTCTCACACTCTTCAGATAAGGTCAGCTCCCGCATTGATTGAGGCGTCACCTCAAGCAGCAGTGCCACGGATGTAGCATTTTACGGTGCGGCCCAAACAGAGATACGAGTCAAATATTTGTTATGGGAATGGTAAAAGTCATTCGATGCGACTAAGGGGGTTTCATCAATGAACAGCTGTTTGGGGGGATTTTTCTCTTACCTGACTTTTGCTTTTGTTCAATTGAGGCGGCTGCGACTGCAGCGACGGCAGTGGGCTTAGCCCCTGTTGACTGCGCAGTTGATGTTGCAGCAACAGCAGAAGCAGCAGTAGCGGTAGCAGGAGCTGAAAAAGGGATCGATGTGGGCATTGCGGATGTGGTTTGCTTTCGCAAGGCTTCCGCCAGCTTTATGTCCAAGCCGGACTGCTGAAGTTTGTTGAAATCCAAAGGTATTCTTTTGATAATGCGTTTGGGCAGAGTTGCACTTCCCACAGCTGGTGACTGCGACGGCGGCGTCGGCAGCGACAGAACTTTGCTGCTGGGACTCGCATGGTTAGGATCGGCCATTTTCGGCGGTGGACCCAATCCCGGATCATTCATTTTCACGAATACACTCAGGACACTGCTATGTACTTTGCAACTGGCTGTTTTGGTGTAGTTTTCGCAACAACACTGAGTTCTTACACCAACGGCATGTGCACGCCTATCCCTGAATAGTTTCTGCCGCCGTTTAGGCACATCCGTCACTTGAACTTGGCCAAAATGTGATAGCTTTTGGTGCACAGAACAGACTTTACGATAACGCTTTTAATTCAACAATTGTTCACGTTTTGACTAAATTATTCAACTTTTAAAGAAAAATAGACACGAAAACTCAAGCATGCAGTGTGCAGCATGCTGCAAACACGGTCTGACCCTCATAAATATACCGTCTCATTTTAAAAATATACCGTAAATATACTGACGAATTCAAGTTCTATATTCCTCGACTCTTACATTCAGTGGAATATTACTTGCTATCTAGGACCCTCAGCTCTGAACTCATAGTTTTATCTAATTATGAAATCAATTTCCAACAAGACTGGTTAAATTTAAGTTCACATCTTAAAACAACTGTTTATAAAATAGGTTTTCGCAAAAACAATTTACACGAAATTAATTTTCGTACATTCTAACTACCTTCTAACTACACGTTTGCTACATACTAACTACATTTCTATGTAACTACCAAAAGCGACACAACACGACACGAATTATATACGTCTCGAAAATTGTTGGCCGTTTTTTTCATATAAGCCCCTGTATGAAAAACCTCCGTTATCCACTTTTTAAAATGCCTTTTTTCCGAAATTTAAAAAAAAAGTGATGTTTAAATGGCAAACGTTCAGGAATCCGGTGCTGATTACGAATTAGTTTTTAAATAGCGTTTCTAGTTGATTTATAAATTGGTAATTGGACAAGAGGGTGACTCCATAAGGCGTCTTAAAATATACTGGAATCTACTAGAAAATACTATGAAAAGTAAAAACTTGCAAGGTGTATGAGCAAGACATGGTGGCAAGAAAATCAGTGTGACCGCTCACTTACTTCCTTCGCCAGCACTACTTTTCTGTACAACCACAACAATTTTCGGTGGCTGGAAAGCAATTTTTCCGGGCTTTCGTGCTAAAAAAAAACTTAAAATATGGACTTTCAAAATCGTGCCGGTGGCAAAACCGGCAGCGGTGGCGTTGCCTCCTGGTCGGAGACCAACCGCGACCGCAAGGAGCGCCTGCGGCAGCTGGCCCTCGAGACTATCGACCTGAACAAGGATCCGTACTTCATGAAGAACCATCTGGGCTCGTACGAGTGCAAACTGTGCCTGACGCTGCACAACAACGAAGGTAGCTACCTGGCCCACACTCAGGGAAAGAAGCATCAGGAGAATCTGGCACGGCGCGCCGCCAAAGAGGCCAAGGAGGCACCCTCCTCGCTTCTGGCCCCGGAAAAGCCGCGCGTTGAGCCCAAGAAATTTGTGAAAATCGGCCGTCCCGGCTACCGGGTGACCAAGCAGCGTGAGCCGAGCAATGGCCAGCAGTCGCTGCTCTTCCAGATCGACTATCCCGAGATAACCGAGGCCATTGTGCCGCGCCATCGCTTCATGTCGGCCTACGAGCAGAAGATCGAGCCCCCAGACCGCAAATGGCAGTATCTGCTGTTTGCCTCCGAGCCGTACGAGACGATCGGCTTCAAGGTGCCGTCCCGTGAGGTGGAGAAGAGCGAGGGCAAGTTCTGGACGCACTGGAACCGCGACACGAAACAGTTCTTCCTGCAGTTTGCGTTCAAGTTTGAGCCCAAGATTTTGCCGCCACCGCCCCCGAATCTACACCGAGCCATGGGTCCACCCGCTGGTTTCCCAATCCCAGGACCCCCACGTCCGGCCATGCATCCCATGTTCAACGGTGTGCCGCCACCACCACCCATGTAAAACGTTCAGAATTTTCAATAAACCTTTTTACATACGCGATGTTTTATGTATTTTCTTTTGTGCTTAAGAAATTAAAAAAATATTTGAATTTTGCTTAAGAATTCTCCCTTTTTTTTCTGTGTGGCTCCTGCTCACCTTTTTGTAAAAGCTTTTTGTCTTACAAATTGATTCTTCGATTAAATATACTTATAAATACATATATATATAAATGTACATCTACAAATAGCAACAGATCCCCTTCGATTCCATCCAGAAACTCCATTCGTTTAGATTTTATCGCGCTTCTTGAAATTGCGCTTCGAGGCGCAGCGATTTATGATGTCCGAGACATGAGGTTTGTGCTCAAAGATTTTCATCAGCTGATTCTGTGACTCGTTGATGCCTTCGGTGATGATCTTGCTGCGCTGTATGTTACCCTGGAAGATCAAGCAGAGTAGCAGTTTAGTAACCATGCCTCCGTCCGACTGCGGCGCATTTACCTTCAGCAGCTCACTGACTCGCTCCATTTCGCTATTCTTCTCCTTGTTCTTTTCAAGCTCCTTCAGCATGGTCTCCAGTTTGTTCATGCTGAACGTCTCGGATTCGTTCTAAAAGAAAAACAAAGAAAGAACATTTACTTAGGGGAATAATTCAGATGCAAGTTTGAGTCTAGTTGTCGCACCAAATCCTCCATTTGGGAGCGCAAATGATGCAGCTTCCAGCCATTGATTTTCCCCTGAACATTTGGCTGATTGGCCAGATCAATGATCGAAGCGCCTCGCTCCTCGCGCGGCTTTACATCCGTATAGCGATGGAAATGATTGTTGGCCAGCTTATGGGTGGGCTTGTATGTCTGAAAAAGGATCAAATATGAATTGCAGTCTGTCCCTCAAGAGTCCCTCATATGTCGGGCTTACATTCAGCAGCGAACAATTGCGTGGACGTCGCAGGACAAAATCCACGGGATTTGCATTCTCCTTATTCCCTGCCACTGCGGGCGCACTAGTGCGATGATTGATGTCTCCCGAAGTGCTGCTGCTGCTGTTGGGCGCTACGCTGGGCCCCGCAGAGGCTGCCACCAGCAGGCCGCCGTTGTTGTGCTTCTGCATGTACGATGCGGCGGTGGCTGCCGCCGGCTCTGCGGTTGGTGGCGGCAGCGACAGAGAGGCCTGACTCTGGGTCGAGTGCTGGCTGTCATTGCTGTGGAATTGGGTTGATTTTAGATTGGGACACAGATACATAGATCCAATATTAGCTTACGTTGAACGTCGCGGCTTCTTTCTCACAGAGCAATCGTAGCTGGAACTGGAGCTGCTGCCCGTGCCATTCATTCGTCCAGCTGCCGCTGCCTGCTGCTGCTGCTGCAACTGTGCTGCTGATCCCAGATGCCCCAGGAGACCTGACTGCTGTGACAGCTGCTGCTGCTGCTGTGGCGTTGGTGCTTGGACATCCACAAAGGCGCTCGCACCGCCGCGTGACCCCAACGAGGCATGGGCAAGGGTCTGCTGCATCGACTGGTGCGCGTACAACTGAAAAAGAGGCAAAAGCATATATAGAATTATAGATCCAGCATTGAATATTCAACTGTTACCTCATTTATGGGATTAAAATGCGTGGAATTGTCGCGACCGCTGGGCACAGAACCCGCTGCTTGGGGATCCCCAATCCGGTCCTGCAGCTGCTGCTGATCGACGCCTGGCGAAGAATTTGCCGACACTGTGGTGGAGCCATCCGAGGAGGCGGGCGACTCGCCGCGTAAATTTCTAACCGCTGCCGCTGCTGCCACTGCCGCTGGGGGCACACGTTCGCGCTCTTTTTTGGCCAGGGCCTCCACAGTCAGAGCGGAGCTGGCGACGGCCACCGACGAGGGCACAGACACGGAAACGGGCTGCAAATTGAATGTAGAGCCAGAGGCCGAGACGATATTGGGTCCACTCGTGTTACTGGCCATCGAGAGGAGCGTGGGTCCCAGATTCTTGGCTGCGCGAATGGGCGATCCGTCGGCCACCCGCTTCCCCATGAAGCTGGATACGAGTGTGCCGCCACCGCCGCCGCCAACAGGTCCGCTGATCGTTGCCGGTTGGCTGGTAACCCCGCCCGTGGTCACCTTGACGGACGTGTGCAGCGGTATGACCATGTGCTGGGGTGGTGCACTGCTCCCTCCCGCCGGTATAATCAGCTGCTGATGGCCAATGGTGCGTGTGGCGCCGGTGGCTCCTCCAACCGTCGCTCCCGATGGCAGCACCGTGAATGTTGCCTGCGATCCCGGTCCGCCAGCACCCACTCCCACACCCACACCGACACCCATTGGGGCATGGCTGGCAAAGGGCAACGATGATACGGACAGGCTGCCGCCGGCACTGCTCACCAGCTGCGCCTGCGACTGAGTGCTCTGCGTGAGGGTTGTTGTGGTCAGCGAGAGGACGCCCGTGGAGGCCGAGGCGGGCATCGATTCGTAGTAGATTGTGGCAGAGCTGCCCTTGTCATCGATCTGTGGAAATGAAACTCTCGTTTGAGGCCAGGGAATCCAATCCTCCTCCATCAAGCACTCACCTTCATCAGTTGGCTTTGGGAGGCCACCACGGGGTTCCAGGCACGCGGGAATCCCGTCACCGTTGTCCCGCCCTGACCAACGCTTCCATCCGATCCCATCCCCCCACCCGCTGCCACGGCGGGGGTCATCATCATTTTGCCCACGGTGATGCCGCTGGCATTCTTAATGGGCGTTAGCGTGCCCGTGAGGCCTCCTCCTCTTCCACTGATTGTCAGTGGCAGGACTGTGGCGCCGCCAGCCGCTGCTGTGGCCTGGCCGCCGACGGAATTCGGGTTCACGACGCTGGCCGAAACACTTGGCACGGGCACAGCCTGTATGCTGGCGACGCCCACGCCCTGTGGCGTCATGGTGGGTGCCCCTCCTCCTACCCCGGGTGTTGAGAGTTTGCCAATCGGATTCAATTGCGTGATCGTGAGCGATGGCTGCACCTTTGCCGTCATAGTTACGGGCGGACGAATGCCTGGAAAGGATTTGGGTTCGAAATTGATTCGCTTATGCTTTGTGGCGTCACTAGCTTCGGTCTTACCCATCTTGGCGGCAGCCGAGGTGCTCATGAGGAAGGGCTGCAGCATTACATTGCCCGCCAGGCGGGCGCCCGCCCCGATAATCTGCTGTGTGGCCCCCGGTCCAGGCTGCTGCAGCTGTATGATACGCGTGGGCATATTGGTGGTCAGGGCCGTTCCTCCCAGGCCTGGACCTCGTCCCGGTCCCACTGTCGCTCCCCCCGACACGCTCACGGGCGTCTGTGAGGCCGTGACGCTGGCATTGAGCTGTGGCATACTGGGCGCGCGAATGCTGATGCTTGTCGTATTCAGTTTGGTGGCCGGGAAACTCTTGCCCAGCGGTATGGGCCGCACCTGGCGAGGGGTGACTGTGGTGCCGCCTGGCGTTGTGGTGGTCACGACTCCTCCAGCAGTGGGTGTCGTCACAGCGAAGCGTGGATTGAATTGCTGGCCCGGTTGGGGATTGACGTTGGGGCCACCCGCCGACATATTCGAGGAGTAGACTAGGGTGGCCTGATGCTGCCGCGGAGGCAAAACAGTGGCCACATATGCCTGGGGACCTCCTCCCGGCCCGCCCGTTGCCTGCTGCTGTCCCAGAGGCTGGGCAGCGGAGACGGAAAGAGCTGCAAAGATCGGAGCACGGATTAGAGCGGGAGGTTCGAGGAAAGGCTTGAATTCGTCTTACCTGTTGGCGCCTGGACTCCGGTCGTGACCACACTGGCACTACTTACCCCCGCCGAGGTGGTGATTATCCTCTGGCGAGGCGGATGGATGGCACGAATGAGCTGCATCTGCCCGGTGGTGCTCTGCATCCAGGCCGCGTTATTGCTTGACGAGATCACTGTTGATGACTGCTGCGAGGACACGGCCACGCCGCTGCGGCTAACCGTTGCCGCTGTGCCGCGCACAAATCCCCCCGTTGTGCTCAGCCCAGTGGGAGCTGTGGGCGTCACCGTGGCCGAGCCGGTGGATGTCGTCCGTAGCGGTGTGACCAGACGTTGGCCGGCCGTCAAGCCCAGGCCCATGCCTCCCATCTGCGTGGCCGTGACACTGGCCCGCGGCAGATAGGTGGCCTGCGTGACTGGCCGCGTGACGGTGATGGAGGCATTGGAGACGCTACGCGCCGGAGCCGCTGGTATGGCCGTGATCTGAGTGCGGCCCGTGGCCGTGACATTCTCCAGCTGCTTGATCATGGGCATGACGACACGCACCTGTGTGGACTGGCCACCGGCGCCAATGGCCCGTATGGAGGCCGCCGTGGTGGCCTGTCCTGTGTTAAGGGCAATCGGAGTGGCGCCCAGCGATGTCTGTTGCACGGTATTGGCGGCTACCTTGATGGTGCCGCCGCTAAGAATGGGTGTCCCGGTGATGGAGATGCCCCCAACGCCGACGTTCAATCCCCCGACATCGGTCTTCACGTGGGTGATCTTTGCGGCCACCGTTGAGTGTGCTGCGGAGGGCAAATGGGGGGGCAATGAGTATTTGTTTATGACGCCGCGCAGATGCAGGGGCGGATGTGTGTGCGATACCAAGGATGAGGCAGCTGCTGCTGATAATGATAATGATGTTGTTGTTGTTGTTGATGATGATGATGATGCATGGGGCTGCAGGTGTGTGCGTATTTTAATGGTTTTCAATGGGGCTGCTGTGTGTGAATTGAATTTAATTGATTTTGTGCAATTTTAGTTGAAATGTTTTTCCATTTAACATTTATCGATTGACGAGGGCGCGAGAACAACAAGACAGTAACAGAAACAGATAGAGAGAGAGAGAGAGACAGAAATACACAACATACACACAACAGTTATGTACAGCAACAGCATTTGCTGAGAAAGTGAGGCACAAAAGAGAATACGAAACAAACACTGCGCACAATACACACACGCACACAACCGATGCACGGCCCAATATATGAATGTACATATGTACATATATGTAGATGATATCGTTGCACATACCTGATGGGGCAGGAGCTGTACCTCCGCCGCTGCCCGTTCCCGCACCTCCCGCGCCGCCTTCACTCGACGCACTCATGTTTCTTATTCGAATACCTGCAAGAAGCAACAAAAATGCATTCAGTCAGATGCCAGTTACACGTTCTACATGCTACATGCTTCTCTGCCTCTTATCTATTCGCTATGTATCCATTTTTTCTTTACACGCACGCACTCATACACAAAAACAGCGCCAAAACGAAGGCGGCTGTTTCGGGATAGTTGTTCAAATACTTGCCTTTTTCGTGGGTTTTAGCGCACGGTCTGCCGCTTGAATTGTATTTAACTATTTCTGCGTAAAATCTGATAGCCGAACAAGTTTTCTTTATATTTTCTTTCTTCTTCTCTTCTTTTTTCTTCTTCTCTTTTTTCCCAACCCTGGAAATCTAGCGTGACCGTTTACGGTCTTATACTTTTCGGTATATTTTGACGTCGAAATGGAGGTGAACGTTAAATAAAAACTTTATATAAAAAAAAGCTTTTCCAAAATGCCAGGGAAAAAATCGAATCTAATATAAATGAAAATATTATTTTATTTTATTAAGAACTGTGTATATTTGACTATGTTTTCAAAAGTGGCTTAGTTTTTCGACTGAAGGCCGGGGGAACGTGTCTGGTGACGGCATCGAAAATTAATTTTGCGTTTTTTCTGTCATGTCTCTGATCGAAAGAATGATTTCAACACTGATTTTAGACGCCTTGTCTAGCTCACACTCCTTGCAGAGTTGAATACTTTTCAAAGTTTTTTCCAGTATTTCTTGTGCAATTTTCTTGTCGTAATTTTTATTGGGCTATACGAAAGGGTATGGACAACAGGCAAAAACAGCCAAGGCGACAGGCAAGGTTCGTACGAACCTCACCTCGCTTGTTAGGACTCAAAATCATTACAACTTTGCACAGCAAGGCAGAGTGATTTATGGTATTTTTAATACTTTTCGGTATTTTTTGAAGTCAAAATTGAGCCGACGGTATCTTTACGGTATATCGGTAGAATAAATTTAATTTTCAAAGGTATATTTCAGAACAAAGGGTATAGAAACTTCTATGCGCAGTTTTTATTTGTATTTCCTCTCCCTCAAATCCTTGATGTTCATTCACTTTCCAACAATTTCTATTGGCGCGCTCAATGAAGGCCTAATTGAGAGTTTTTAGCACTCTCGCTCGCTTCAAAACAGTTAAGGCGCTCTTTTTCGCTCTCTTTGAATCGGCCAGACTCATGTGCCGAGAAATCAAAGCAGCATGTCCTGCAACATGGCCAACATTGTGCATACCCTAGGGAAAGGTTATTATAGAATTGCGGAAATGTTTGTCATCTCAGGCTCTAATGAATGCAGAATCTAGTCAGTCTCTGTTTAATAAGTATTTCAGAGACCAAAAATCGGTATCTGGATCAGGATATTATAAAAATGGGAATACTCTATTCGACAAGCAACAAGTCTTCAAATACCAGCAACAATGACGGGACTGTTTTTTTTTTGTTGAGCTTTTTTGTTTAAACCTTGATTTAGTCAAAAATTCAAGAAATGGGAGTACTTAAAAGTACAAGATTAACTTGTAGTCAATTTATTCATCAAAAGGATAAAACTATGTGGGCAGAGCTGAGGGTCTCGGTTAGCCAGAATTATTCAACCGAATATCAAAATTGAGCAATTGGAGCGATTACTCTCTTACGTTGTTTTTGTTTGGCCTTTTTCGCTAAAACCTTTTTTAGGCAAAATTCTATAAAAACCAGTATTTAAGATAAGCCAGTCAAGTAGAAAATAGGTACATTAATCATATAAAATTATGATGGCATGGCTAAATGTTCTATATAGCTAGTAATATTCGTCGGAATATCAAAAACGAGGAATATGTTTAATATAACTTGAATTTGTCAGTATATTTACGGTATATTTTGAAAATGAGGCGGTATGTTTCGGTATATTTCTGAGTGTCGGACGGTATATTTTATCGATAAATCCGCGGTCACACTGGTGGTTTATGTTGTCGGTTGTCGTTTCTTGCAATGATTTAAGTTTTAAGTGTAATTGCTATAAGGTGTCTCAAGACCTTTCTTTAGGACCAGAATAAAATTTAAAGCCCGACTGCGGGGTACACACTATTTTTGTCGTGTGTGTGCAGCCGCGTTTGGTGCAGAATAACTACCAATTTCGGTACAATAACACACACGGGTCCCATACACAAGGGGAGCGAGAAGCAGTTTAATTGAATTACAAGTGAAATTAAAGTGTGCTGTGTGCCTGCCTGTCTCCCCGTAAAATTTCAAACTCAGGTGAATCGCAAGGAAAACAAACCGAGTTACGTGAAAAACCACAAAGTGCAAGAAAGAATTCGCTGCTTGATGTCCCCCCTCAGCCGTGCGAGAAAAAATTGATTTTCCACAATTGCAATTGAAAGGCAAAAGGCAGAAAGCAGAAAGAGGCAAAGAAAGGCAACTGCCGTTGACCGTGCGTGAGTGTGTTGTGTTTTTTCTGTGTGTGAGAGAGGGTGGTGTGGTGTGGTGTTGTGTGTAGTGTAAAGGGCGCGCGAGCGAAGGAGAGAGAGAGAGAGAGCGTATCGAGACGTCGCATCCTCTTCGCATGCAATGAATATTGTCGGGGAGTATGAATACAGCTCCAAGGATATGCTTGGCCATGGCGCCTTTGCTGTCGTCTACAAAGGGCGTCACCGCAAGGTAAGAACTAATAAAAAAAAAACACTACATTCTCGTCATTTGTAATTAACTTCTTTATCCCCCAAGTCCGAGTGTGCGTAATATTGTTTATGAGGCTTATCTCTCATTCGCAAAACAAATGCAAAAAACAATATCAAAACTTATTAACAATGCGCCATTGTCAGTAGGTAAACACAAAATACGTCCCCGCAAACACAAACGCCAAAACATCAACGCGCGTTTGCTTTGCTTTGCTTTGCTTTGCTTTGCAAAAATGTCGTCAGAGAGTGAAACAAAAATCAGCTGAGACTCCTCCTCGACCGCCCCTCCCTTGCGGGGGGTTATTTATTATTTATCCATTGATAAATATCTATTCCACAAGCTGAATTTTGCATCCAAATCACAGCGCCATTTTGTTGTGCCTTGTTTTTGTTACAACTATTTCTATCCCTTTTCTTCCAGCATAGTTTTAATCGTCATTTATCTGCGGCCGCCTCTCGCACGTGCCTTCACACAAAGGCACGAAATTGCGTAGGCCTATGCGTGTGTGCTTTGCGTCTGTTTGTGTGGGCTTTCAAGTGCTTTTGAACTATTTCAGGGTCATGCCCGAAATAATTAATTCTGAACAATTGCCTGTCGAATTATTGGGTCCTCCAGAAGGGGTCATAAAATCCAAATTTTTCTAAGAAAATTAAACAAATACAAATGTTTGTGAAAGGAATATGTTTGTGTGGTGGAATGATGTGCTCCTGTAAGGTGTGATATCATATGCCACTGCTATCAGAGATCTCTCAGCATCACTTTAAAGTTGAAAAGCAAAAGCAAAAGCAAAACCACAAAAAGCCATAAATAAAAGTAAAGTGAAAAGCGAAAACACTTTGCCAAGGCAGAGCCAGAAGCAGCAGCAGCAGCATCAACAGCTGCCTGCCCGCTATTGCATCAGCTGTTGTCTGTATCCATAATAAAAGCACCTTCCATATATGTATACATAAATATATATGCATTCATATGTACATATGTATGTTTGTACCAGTTTAAATTTGCTTCTATACGTTTTGTACATATGATTAGGCAGATAATATACTATTTGTACATACATATGTATGTCTGTATGTATCTTTATGTATGGCCTGTTCAGGTATATTCGGTTTAGCAACCGAATCGATATACACAGCTTCTAAAGAAATTCCAGCCAGCTGTAGTTTCACTTGTTTCTTCAAAGTTTTGCTTAATTTGATCAAAAATGTATCTACCAGTGTATTTTCAGCTTCGTCTCGTCACTAAATTGAAAATGTGTACAATAATGTACACTATTAATTACAAGTGCAGTGCAGTGCAGTGCCGGTGGGACAACAATGGCGTAATCGACTCCCTCCCACACGTACACCAGACACCAGAGCACTTGTCTCGCTCGCACACCCACCCCCCCTGCTACTATTGCTCTCTCCGTCAGTGCTGTGCCACTCTACCGCTCTACCGTTCTGCCACTTTGTCACTGTCTTTGTCTTTGTCTTTTTCTTTCATTGTGGACCTTTTCTCTTTTTTCTTTTTATCTCCTTTTTCCAAAAAGATTTGAATTGATTTCGATGTATTTATTGTTGTTTCTTGTGTTTTTTTTTGTATCTGAAATGTCTGAAATGGTTTCTGGAATAGTGGGTGGATTGTACTTCTATTGGTCTAAGCACATTATCATTTCCTTGGGTTCCTTGGGCACATTTTGAATGCCTTTCCATGTGTTAATATCACTGCAATTCCTTTGGTTATTTTAAGCACCGTGAAGGACTTGTCAGACAGCCCACGATGGATTTATCTTCTTTAAGTATCTAAAGTCAGCATGTGCCCAAAAGAAGATTCTCTAAAAATAGTCGGGAACATGTGTGCTCCATCGAGACAAAGACTAAAGACAGCTAAAGGAATAAAGAATATCTACTCAGAGGAGAGACACTAGTCCCAAGTGCTGTCTGCTCTGGCCTCTCCATGAATGAGACGTATCTTGCGGATCTTTATCTGTACGAGTATCTCAGGGATGCGCTGCGTGACATGTGCCCAGACACAGACCTAGTACCAGACGACACGTGTTTCAATATTTCATAGAGGGGTTCCATTCGGTTCGGTTTGCTTTTATCGTGTTCCCCCAATTGCATAAGGTCATGCAAAAAATTACGAATACGAGTGTGTGTGCCCCGCCCCCGCCGTTGCCCCTCCTAGCCACATACTCCATGGCACATGGAACATGGAACATTGTATTGTATCGTTGCACAATCTGTTCCGTTCCCCCCCCCCCCACCCCCCCCCCCCCCCCTCATCGTTTCGGATTTCCAGACTTTTTGCATATTTACATATATTGTATTTGTTTATAGTTTGTGCAATGGCATTTTTGTTCATTCCATTTACTTTTTTGCATTTCAAAGGGAACGAAAATGCATGTAGGTTTGAGATTATTCCCTTCTAGACTTGTGTGATAATGATTTAAATTGTTTCATAATCAATCAGATTGGAGTGTGGACACTACGAAGCTTCTAGGCGGGCCCTCTCTCACTCTATCAGGCACAGCTCTCTAGGGTTTTCGAGACCATCTATAGTGTAATCCCTTTGCCAGCGATTAGTCTGGCCACTCGACTTTGAAACGGAAGTGAAATCCACCTTTCTGGTGGGAACCACTACGACACGTGCAGACCAAAACCGAGTGCTATAATACGCATAAATTAATTGAGAAAATGCCGCCAGTCATCTCTATATAGTGTAGATATTCTACCATTTGTTTCGCAGACAAACTAGTTTGTCTTGTTCAGCTCCAGATCGGTTGTAGTACGAGTATTTCTATCGTCTGTTCTGTGCTGTTCTGTTCTGTCTGTTCTGGTCTGGTCTGTCAATTGGTCGTGAATTATGCGGTTATTGGTATAAGATATAAAAGTTTTGCGTCGCAAAATTAGAGAGAATTTCCGTGATACCTGGTGCTCCTCTGGCCACATCTGTATATATTTTCACCCGCCAAACCAGTTGGGAGTTTGTATCTCTCTGTCTCTCCCTCTCTCTCTCTCTCGTTGGCTGTGTGTATCCGTCAGATACTCGCACTTGCACTCGCACTTGGTCTATGGATGATGTGCATTTCGTGTTGCCTGTGGGGATGGCTAGCTGGCTGCCACTCGTCGTTTCTCGCATTTTCTGCCACAATTGTTGCCTTTTTTGTCTTGCTATTTTTGGCCAAAAGAAATGCTGCCGTTTTTCCCTGTTGCTGTTAGTTGAGGACGGGGGGGGCCATTGCACCTAAGGCCAGCAAATTTCTTTCACCTTATCGTTGCCCCCTCCCGAGTTCATTGAACCCCCCCCAAAATAATAAAATGTACCTCCAAGCCCAAAACCCATAGCCCAAAACATTTTGAAACGCATTAAAAAACATGGTTTTTGGATCGCCCGAAATGGTGACTGGTGGTCGGGGTCACCCTTTGGGAGTTGCCTTCGTTTTTTGACACCATTTTCGCTTCGGCCAGCAAATTTGTTGATTGGGGTGATTGGGTCAAGAACTGCTCGAGTGTACGCTGTGTGTGCTGTTTTTTTTTGTTTTGCATTTTTATGTACTTTCTAATCTAATCTCAAGTTCTTTTATGGCTTTTGGGGTGACGAGTGACGTTAAGAAAGAGTTTAATAAATAAAAGTAGATCCACAAAATTCTACAGAAACTCGTATGTTGCCACTGACCTGAGATACCATTGCCATTAATGTAATCTAGTCAAGCTCCAATGATCGCATGTCAATACCATATGCACAGGGAGGAAGGGAGGTAGGGAGGGAGGACAGAAAACACTGAACTCTGAAGATGGCCTGCAAACAAACAAACAAACAAGCAGAAACAGAAACAGAAGATGTGCAAGGTCTTGGTTATCGGTTAGCAGAGAAGCTGCTGCATTTAATTTGTTTAAATATAAATCTTGAGAGACACACACACACACACACACACGGCAGAGTGATTGTCAGGCGGTGAAGAGAGCAGCACATATATCGATTTACAAGCCCCCATCATTCGAAGAGCGCGTGTTCGCGATCCAATCGGGGGTTGGAGCACGGGCGGTGGGAAAGGGAAACCAATAGAATGCTAAACAGTACCAGTACTCGTATCGAATCAATCCATTCAGTAAATATATCTTTAACAAATATTTTGTACTTCTTCTCGGTCCCGAGTTACGCATGTTTTTCGTTTTCTCTTTAGCAAGAGACTATATATATATCGGAGTAAGGGCGTGGATCATCTGGATATACTCGTACATATGCAAAGCCGTCAGTAACCGTCAAGGCTTTCTTGCCTCAGACACAGACAAAGACAAAGCGCCAAGAGTCATTGTTGTTACCTGCTTTGAGTGTTGAGTAAATAAGTTAACTGAATGCGGGAGGGCCAGTTGGTGGGGGTTGGGGCCGGGGCCGGGGGCTTGCCTTATCAACCCTTACCCGTCGTAATTCCCAGCCATAACTTCGCTTCCTTTCCCTGCCGTTCGTCTGCTTTGTGGCCCAGTTGAATGCGTTTTTGCGTATCTAATAATAACAAGAAACCCGAGCGAGACCCGAGCACTCTTTGGCCATCATCTGGGATTGGCATTTCCCTGTTCCCTGCCAGAGAGCTGCGGGCTCTCTTTCAATGCATTCCAATGAATGAAACGAATGTGAATGGCCGATAATTTGGTTCTCAAAATAAAAACTGTTTTGATAGCCTCCAAAAAATTGAAACCTTAAACCCCTTGAACCGATATCGAACGCAAATCATTCGATGTGGCGTCCCCAAAGGGGGAATTGATTAATTTCTATGAATTTGCTTTTAAAATTGGGTTAAATGTTCAAAGACTTGAACGGAAATAAATATTAATGACATTGTTTTTCATTTCTTTTTTGTTTTAGAAACACATGCAGGTGGCCATCAAATGCATTACCAAGAAGGGACTAATCAAGACGCAGAATTTGCTCGGTAAGGAGATCAAAATTCTAAAGGAGCTCACCGAACTGCACCATGAGAATGTTGTGGCTTTGTTGGACTGCAAGGAGTCCCAGGATTGCGTCAATTTGGTCATGGAGGTAAGTCCGTGTCGCTGAAAGCGTCAAAAACTGCATTAGTACTCGTAATATCATGTTTTTATGGCTAAAACGTGTGCGCCCCCCCCTGCCCCGCCCCGCAGTCCCGATGATGTGGTATTGGTATTGGTTTGGCCAGTTTCACGTCATATCACCACCTACATACCTCTCCTCTGCCCGCCACATTGCCTCTCTTTCTCGTTGGCTAAAATGCTACGCCATTAATTGCGGAAGTTGCGAAATGAATTTGTAAACAAAAATCAAGTGAGAATAGAATGGAATGGAATGCTAGGTGGTTCTTCTCATATTGGATTGTGGGGTCATACCCGGCATACCCTGGAGCAGAAACTATAGAAATTACCCTATAAAAATGCAAAAGCAAGGAACAATCAGTGGTAGGGTGGGGCCTAATTTTAGTATGGTGAATCACTAGCCGCCGTGAATTCTCTTTCTCTTTTCCCCTGTGCCCTGGGGCAATTGCGTTGTTTTTGTCGCCTCTTTATACAATGTGTGCTTAATTATATATTTCTTAATACGCATTTGTTAATTTACACCAGAATGCTCTCCCCCCCCCCGGTACAGATCCATTTCGGATATTCTGTGCTCGAAGTTTGTTCAACTCTCGTGTGGAGAGGTGGTTCTGTGGGTGTGTGCGGGGTGGTGGTGGGACTACAGGTGTGTGCCGATTGCCAGCACTCAGTGTGTTTACAGAGTATGTGCTACGAGCACTGCTATAATCTGGAAAGTAGGTCAAATGTCTGTGGCGAACGCGGCATTAGAAGGTTCTTTTTGGGCGATTGTTTGTTTGTTTCTTTGTTGTCCACAACTGATAAGATTGTATAGGATTGAGTTGTTTTCCGTTTGGAAGTGGGCAAAAGGTTTTGAGAAACTATTGATTCGTAGGTGGAGAAGAGTGGCATATTAGGGTATGTATTCATTCGCTTACGCTCGGTTTTGCTTTTCTTTTCTTCCATTGCAAGGCAAGTTAAGTAGAAGGTGGCGGCAGTATGTCGAGAAAAGATAAAAATCCAGGAGCGATGAGTAAAGTCCCTCGACTCAGAGAAGATCATATGGGCTTATCCACCGTCCTTATATTCGGATACGAAAATGCATATATGTGTATGTGGTACCTTGTGTATACATTATACCCTGCACATCGGCTTTGGTGGGAGCGAGAGGAGGGGAGTGTTACTGTTCCATTCCATCTGCTATTGTTGTTACATTTTCGTTTGCCTGACTTTGGCCCCGTTAGCTTTGCCTCTGCCTCTGCGGTATTCTAATTACTTTGCAATCAGAAAGAGAGAGAGAGAATGGGACAACGAGAGCGGTGAATGAGATTGTTATCGGTGCAGTGCCTTCCTCTTTTTGCTCTCTATTAAACGTATGCATGTATTTATTGATTCTGTTCTGCCCACGTGCCCCCCATTTATCTGCTCTTCACTATTTATTTACCCGTATCATGGCAACAATTAACGATCTGTTTATCTGTTTACTAAAACAAAATAAATATTGGATGGATGGATGGATACGACAGGATAGGATACGATAAGATACAAAACGCGTGGATGGATGACAATCAAGGTTGTCAGGTGTCAAGTTTCGGTAGCTATAATTGCAATAGCCACGATTATGGTATTAGGTGGAATTTCCCTGGGGAATTTTGGGGAATCAGTAAAACATTTTGCGCAGCATTTTGTTTCCTTCTATTTACAATAATTGTTTTTATTGTATTTTGGCAAAAAAAATCTATAGCTAAGAGTACGACACGCACAGACACACACATAGAACTAAAAACTAAAGTATGATACGTTTAAGCATTAGAAGAGAGTCGCCTCCGTCCTTTGCTACCCTAAACAGAACGCCATGCGACTAGGCAGCTAGCTAAACCTACTAACAACTAGACTCCGACTAACAAACTAGGGAACCTGGACAGCGGTGGTTGCTGTTGCGGTTTTGGTGCTGGCAAACAATGGAACGAATCTACAATTGTTTATGACGTCAAGTAGTTAACTAATTTTCGCATTCTACAGATAAATTATCCATATAAATTAAGATATTCTATCGCTCTATACATATATAAGAATCTGGCGAAAAAAAAATGCTTGTAAAGTGGAACGTGTTTGTTTTGGTTAGAAATTCGGCAAGTTCGTCTGTTCTACTTAGGCTAGCTTATTCAATGGTATCTCCTCAGTGGGATGGACCTGATCCTTTGGCTCCGGTTTGCTGGTGCGGCAGCATTTGGTCTTGATGCCGCCCACATCCTTGCGGCAAATGAGGCCAATGACAATGCCAATGACCGCCAATACCATGATGCCTGCAAATGTAATGCGACATTTAATATTTCATATTTCATATACATATATCTCCAATCACTCACAGATGAGCAGCGTGTTGATAGTCTCCTGTGAGATGGGCACCTGATAGGGTTTCTCCTTGTCCGTGGTCGTCTCCACAATGACCCCACTGCTCTCGGTCACTGCGCCAATGCCAGCTTTGACCACTTCAATGGCCGCCGCCGTGCTGTTTGCCATTTTATTCCGATTGCGATTCGCTGTTTAGTTTGGAAAACACGCCATAAGTATTTGCTCTCATCATTGTTCTGTGGAGTCTGTTCCGCTTACCTGTGCGTGTCGGGGCGGGGGTTGCGGCTGGCCGGGCTGTGGCGGTGGCAGCGGTGGGCAGGCCCGTCACCCGCTTGAAGGGCGGATCTGTGGCCTGGATCAGACTCTCGTTGAATGATGTGCCCAGCACCAGTTCGAAGCAGCTCACATCAAAGTGCCTGAAGCTGATGTTGTCAATGGACTTGAGCAGGTTGCACAGCTCCTCGATGTTGGCCTGGTCCAGTTCTGGCAGTTTCAGTTTAATTATGTTTTTTAGCGGTGCAAAAGCTCGCGTATTGATTTTCTGTCAAAAGAAAAGCAAAAGCAAGTAAAGTAATTGCGTGAGAGAGCGAGAGGGACAACTATCTATGCTAATCGACGAACAGCTGCTGCAGGGTTGCCTTGGCATGCAGGCGCCAACTATCGATAGACATATCGGGGATTTGGCAGTGCGATAACTTTGGCGCGAAACTTGTACCTGTTCGAAATCGTTGTTGTTCAAGCGCAGCGTTTGCAGGGCACTCATATTGACGAACGTCTGCTCCGGCAGCTCCGTCCAGCTGCAGTTCGAGCAACTGAACTCGATCAAACCGGGTTGATTGAGAAATGAACCCTCCAAGCGCTGGGTGATGGAATTGTTGCTCAAATCGAGAAGCTCCAGGTCTGTGGCCCCCACGAAGGTGTCGGGTTCGATTTTGGTGAGACGATTGTTGGCCAAACGCAACCGCCTCAAACGCTCCAAGCCATGGAAGGCCTGCCAATCAAATGTATTAAGATTATTATATTATTTAGATATATATATAAGTATATACGTACCTCCTTGTCCAGATGACTGAGCAGATTGTGGCTCAAATTGATTTCCACCAGGCGGGACAGATTGGCAAAGTCCTCTGGCCTCAGTTCGGCAATTACATTATAGCTCAAGTCTATGATGGCCGCCGTCCTAGGAATGTCCAGGGGCACATGGGTTAGATGCGCATTTGAGCACTGGATATACTTGTCCTCCACGCAGCGGCATTGCCGGGGACAGCTGGGCTCCAGGACCAGGTTGCTGCGACGTGGTATGTCTAGAGTAGATTAAAAATCAGTTGTAATCGAGTGGAATGCATAATCGGGGGGATTGAGCCTCACTAAATGTGGGTCGAAATGTGGTTGTGGTTGTTGTGGAAGATGTGAATGGCATCAGTCTGTTCTCAGCTGTCTCCGGTGATCCCTTGGACGCCGTCTCTTCACTGTAGTCATCGTCATCGTAGATGTAATCATCAACCGAACTGTTGCTCGGATTCTGCTGTGCTTCAGCGGCGGCTGGAGCTGCAAATGTGTGGCTGATGCTGAAAAGGTGAATAGCATAGAATAGAGCAATTATCGACCAATTCGTCAACTTGTTTAGCCAAAAAAAATATAGATATACCAAAAATGGAAACTGCCTGGCAATTCTAGGGTAAAACGAGGCTTACATCATCGTCTTGAAGGCGAACCAACGAACACACCCAACTAATTTGTCCTGAAAACGCTCTTGACTTGACCCATTTAATTACGAGTGTCGTCAAAGCCAAGCGAACACGCACACACATACACACAAGTATTATGGAGGACAGGTAGGCGAGCGAGCGAACGATAACTTTTTCCTCTCCTCACTATCATTATAAGCTTTTGTTTATGTCTCTCTCTCTCTCTCTCTCTCTCTTTATCTTTCTGTCTCTCTGGGGAGAATGACTGGAGGAATGCCTACAGTGCGTTTTACAACTGTATATTGTGGATGCTCTGCTCTGCTCTTCCACATGAGTTTTAATTGCAAATGAAGTTTTCCCAGTTGCCTTAAAATACTGTAACGCACTGTACATGTGGGTCTTGCGGTGGGAAAGAGACACACATACATATACCCAAACCTGTTTACGTCATGGCAAAAAGAGACAACTTGACCGGTTTATTTTTTTTTGCACGATTTCGTTTACTCTCACTTTCGCCGTTTGTTTTGGTTTTGTTGCTGTTTCGTGATTTCTTTCGCCTGATTCTAAATCCTTCATTAGACTTCTGCTCTGCTCTCAAGGGTGTGCGGGGAGCGGGTCAAGTGCGTCTTAAAAAACGACTTGACTTGACTTTTGAGAATTCACTCAAATTGCGTGACTCTTGACTGAAGTTTTAAATGATTGTTGAGGATAGTCATCAGGCAATCAAGTGGTCAAATTAGAGGGTATAAACGTTTTATACTAGAGTCTCTAACTGAACGGAAACTTATTGTTTTATTGCTGATAAAGAAGGTCTCATTATTGCTGCGGTTTTAAAGAGAAATACCTTCAAGCTCGAGCACAACCTTTAAACCTTAACGACCCATGACGATCAAATGGAAACCCCCCTCCCCTGATAGCACCCAAAAGAGGAGTATTTCAAGTGGAAAGTTTACAGTCCTCTCACTCTCTCAATACAACAAAAAATCAATTGAGCTCTCCTCTATCTCCCTCTGCCTCTCCGCAACTGTAAATGGACGAGCATGGAATAGGACGAGACCATTAAAATGTGACTCATCCAAAAAAGCTGACACCAAAAAGAAACACTAGCTGTTCCCCGAATGGGGATTATGCATGAAATGCAAGCGTTTCCTGCACTTGCTGTTTTTCTTTCCTTGGTCCGATTTTCTTGCACTCAAATCGCCCAAGTTTTTTGTAGTTCTTGCCGCCTGCCGTCAAACAAAAATTATGATAAGGCCAGGCGCAAAAAAAAGGCATAAATTATCGGGGCAACCGGTGTATTGTTATTATTTTTATCAGATTAGGTGATATGATTAGAAGGAACCATTAAGTGCTGTTGCCGAGGTCTGTCCATTAAGAGGTAGTGTGTGTGTGTGTGGTTTTTTTTTTATAACCCCTGCGTGAGTGTTGCAATTGGAAATGATATAAGTAACAGGCGGTGAGTAGGGTCAAAGTCCCGCTACTCGTACGCTTCCTCAACAGGTTCGAGAATTAATCACTTACGATCGTTACTCAATGAAAACCTTGTACTTTCGCCTTTTTGTCTTGTCGCCTAGAAATGATACCCACCAGCTCTGTGAGGCACCTGCGTCATCCTACTTATAAGAATTTCAAATTTCAAAGATGATTTGTTTAACAAATAGAATTTCTCCTGCCCATGTATCACCGTTACATCTGATCTCGAAACGTATGTTTAAAACATTTTTTTTTTATATGGTTTTTACCTGACGCTGAGCAAAAAAATCAAGAGCAAGCCAAATTTGTAATACACGTGCATTTTTATTGTGATTTTTATTTTGTATTGTTTAGATGGTTGGTGTTTTATTTATTATTTTTTCCACTGACTGGTTTAGCAATATAAATTATATATATTTTGTTGTTTGTTTATTTCATTTCATTTCATTTGTTTGGCTGAGAATTTCACAATCTGAAAATAGATTTTAATTAGTTTTGTTTCACTCGGCACTTTTACTCTATATTCTATAAAGTTATTCGGATTTTATTGGCATAGTAAATACATCAGTTTTCATAACATAATTTCGACGAAGCTTTTTCGATCCGCTCGCACACACCGGCACATTCTCAACGCCCAAACCCAACTGAGACGACGGGGCAGAGACCCCAAGCATGGCAATTTTGCCATCCAATGCAGGTGAGAGAGCGCCGAAACTCTCTCTCTCTCTCTGTCTCTTCCTCTCCGAAATTTTCTTAGACGCCATCAGCTTGATTCTTTAGCGGCTTTTGCTCTCTCTCTCTCTCTCTGTCTCTCTCTCTGTCTGTTCCTCTCCCTAATCTGTGCGGAGTGATTAGTAAATGTTTAGCCCCGGCCTGCCTCTACCACTACCACTAATCTTATCATTTTTCCTTCGTTTGTAATTCTCTGTACTGCTTCGTTTTGCTTTCGTTGTTCCATTCCGTTTGACATAATTCTTAAGTGACTGTGTTGCTATTAATTATAGTATGTAACTTTTGTAGAGAGTTTCCCAAAAACGAGAAGAACCCCACCACCCACCACCCACCGTCATCTCTGTCGATCAATATTACAACGAAAAGTTAACTTTGATTGCGGGTAAAAACCGATCGTTATAGCCGCCCTGGACGAGATTTATACATTTTGTTAACATAATTTACATCTATCGGTATAGGAAAACCATAACATGACTAAGTCGGAATGCTGGAGATGAAAAGATTAGCTAGATTGGCTTGTTGTGTGACGTGATTTGAATTATAATTTTATTAAAATATATTTAACAGTGAACTTTGCTTGATTCATCCAGTGTACATATTTATATTTTGTTAATTCCATTTCAATTGTCTTGATATATGTAGACTGGCTACATGTGTATATTTTCTTATACACACACACACACGCACAGAAATCTATACAGCGGCACGCTTTGTTTTTATCGCCTAGAAAAATAATGTTGACCTTTAGTCCATTGAGTTTTACTTGGAATGTTTCGCGGCACATAAACACAAACACACAGAGACAGAGACACTCCACACGTAATACCCTGGGTTGTGGCCGTGTCTTTGCCTTTGCGCTGCCTATGTACTCGTGTATTGCTTATTTTTTCGACCACACGCACTAACAACAATTTGGCAATTGCAGCAGCGAGCTTTTTGCACTGTTTCTTTCTTTGTGAGTATCGCGTACGATTACAGCTTTTGCAGCCAAGGCGGGCGAGTCGCGCGATTGTCTGTGATAGACTGAGCGGCAGCAGCGACCCAAAGCCCACCAGCCTGCCAGTGGCAGCAGCGACGCGCGCTCAGCTCAGAGAGAGAGCGAGCGAGTCAAAGCTCTCTCTCTCTTGCTCTGTTTGATGGAAACTTTAAAACCCCAAATGTTGTTGGTTATTTTCGTTCATTATAATGAATAAGTGCATTTTCCAATAACTCGCTGACTCATGCGCACTTGTTTGCTGATTTTGCATATTTCCATTGATTAAGAAAAACCAGAGTTCAATTTCTAAAAGTCCCCCGACACGACTGTGGCTGTGGATGTGGCGCCCTGCTCTTCTGTTCTTCCGCTCTTCTGCTCTTCCGCTCGCCCGCTCTTCCACTCTTCTCTCTTTCTGTACTTTTATTGTAATTTGTGTAATTATTTTTTTCTTTTTACTGTCACTCATTTTACATGTCAATGACTTTTTTGAGCTTGCTTAATGCAAAAAAAATCATTTGGCTGTTTAATGTTCGTTCTCTGTCCCTCTTGCCCACTCCTCCCCTCGGCTTCTGTGTAGTGCGTTAAGCGGTTTCACAAAGGCAAGTGAAATCTTTTGTCATTTCAATTTTTTGGTTTTAATTGCCTAATATTGCCTGTGTTATTGCCTCGCTTTGTTTGCTCATTAAGTTGTGCGAGAGTAAGTGGTCCACATGTCCATATGTTTTCTCATTTTCTGCTGTCCGAAAGTGGTTTTTTTTGTTGTTTTTGTTCGTTGCACTGCTTGCAAAGCAGGGCAATAGGTGTGAGAGAGAGGAGAGTGAGAGTGTGCCCAAGGTCAGAGAATCGGCAATACTTTTTGGCAGCTGCCTTCTGAGACCCTCGAAATAACGGAGTGTGTGGCTTGTGTGCGTGTGTGTGTGGATCGAATCTCTTGTCTGGCATTCGAAAGAGGGTTGGAGGTTGCTTGAAAAGCTGTCAGTCCTCTCCTGATACAGGATATGCATGAACAGGAACCGGAATTCTTCAAGAACGGAAGCCAGCAGCAGCTGTCTAATCTCCAGAAAGATACATAATTCCCTAATTCAAATTGTCATTCCCATTCCAATTCCAATTCCTTTCCTCAACTTGGATTCTTGATTGTCATAAATCACATTCGCATTGACCTTGCCCACATTCTTTATATAATTGTCTGAATGGATGGTCGGACAAAAGTCGCAACGAAGAGTCGCGGCTCTTGGGATGGGGGTCTCTGGGGGTCTTGGCATTTTGCACTGATTGAACCTAATTCATTTGCATAGTACGCGCTTTGCTTTGCTTCTGCCTTTGCTTTGGGGACCGGGGACCGGGGACCAAGACCCCTCCTGAGGGTTGTAGGAGATTTATGTGCGCTCTGGAACTTTTGACCTTTTGCTTTTATGATAATAATGTTTCTGTTTGTCTTCATCTTTTTGCAGTACTGCAATGGCGGCGACTTGGCGGATTACCTGAGTGTAAAGGGGACCCTGAGCGAGGATACCGTTCGATTGTTTCTCATACAACTAGGTAAGGACTATACATACATCTAAATATAGCTATATTTAATTTGGTTTGGTATCTTTTAGCTGGTGCTATGAAAGCGCTTTATACCAAAGGAATTGTGCATCGTGATCTCAAGCCACAAAACATTCTGCTATCGCACAACTATGGCAAGACATTGCCATCACCATCGAAGATAACCCTGAAAATTGGTGAGTATGCTCTAGATAGGATACGGCAACAGGACAGGACTTAAATTCACTCTTGTTCCGACAGCGGATTTCGGTTTTGCGCGTTTTCTAAACGAGGGCGTCATGGCAGCCACTCTCTGCGGCTCCCCCATGTATATGGTAAGGGAATAACTATACTCCACATATGAATAAAGCCCTAAATCGAATATCTATACCGATATATAGGCTCCCGAGGTGATCATGTCGCTGCAGTATGATGCCAAAGCGGATCTCTGGTCGCTGGGCACGATCGTCTATCAGTGTCTGACTGGAAAGGCGCCCTTCTATGCACAAACACCCAACGAACTGAAGTTCTACTACGAGCAGAATGCCAATCTGGCCCCAAAGTAAGTGACCCAAGAACATTGTTATCCAATTTAGTTTCTAATGTGACTCTTTACTGAAGGATTCCACATGGAGTGTCGCCAGATTTGAGGGATCTGCTGTTGTGCTTGCTGCGCCGTAATGCCAAGGACCGTATTTCCTACGAGAACTTCTTTGTGCATCGCTTCCTGCAGGGCAAGAAGGCCGTGTCGCCAGGTAAGCCGATCGAGATCAGCGTTTCGTCAAAGACTATCCTCAAATTGTGATCTATCAACAGTTGATATGCCTCCGCTGGGCAGCACACCGCCGGTGAAGGCCAAGAGTCCGTTGCAACAGCAACTGGAGCAGGAACTGCAGCTGGTCAAGCTGGCCGAGCAGCAGCAGAAGGAGCGCGAAGAGCAGGAAGCGGCCCAGGATGAGGAGAATACGGGTAACTATCGAAAGAGAAAGTTCCCCAGACAAAGATCATCCTCTAAATGTGTCTGTTTTGTGGCCATATAGTTTCCGTGGTGGCCAATCCAGCCATTTGTGCCACCATCACCAATGTGGGAGTGCTCTGCGATAGCGAGAACAATAGTGGATCGTGCAGCTCTCACGAGGATTCCGATGACTTTGTCCTGGTGCCCAAGAATCTGCCCGAGGATCAGCGTCAGGGCCAGGCACAGGCACTGCCCGCAGCCGGAGGCCAGCGTCAGCAGCAGCAGCCACAACAAAATCAATCCAGTCCGCCACGACCCAGCAGTCTGCCCATCTCCGAGCCGAAGCCAGTGCCGGCTCCAGTACGCCGCCAAACGGCCGCCAATCCAGCTGGAGGAGGCGCACTGGCCGGCTCTCCGGCCAGACAGGGGGGCAACATGCCACTGACAGTGGCAACATTGGCTGCGGCTGGCAAGCAGCTGCCACGCTCTCAGCCCATCAGTGTGAAGCAGCCGCGTCCGGATCAGCGCAAGAGCAGCGTGAGCAGTGACATCAACTCGATCTCGCCGCCGGCAGTGCAGTTTGCCATTGGAACACCACCGGGAGGCACCACCACACGGATCAGGTCCGCTTCGGGGGGATCGCTGTCGGAGACCCCGCCGCCGCATGCACCGAGCACCTGGCAAGTGTCGCCCGGACACTCGCAGTCGCCGCTGCGTAGGAGTGGCAATAGCTCACCGATTCTTCCGTCCGCCGCGCTCACCAAGCTGCCGACCCTGGGCAGTCCCACGATGCTGGTGGCACCCGGTTCGCTGGGATCGATTGGCTCCGCTGGCAGTGGATCGGAGAACAACAACCAGCACCACATGCTCGGACCGCGTGCCTTCACCCTGCCCGAGCTGGGAGCCACCGGGGGACTGCACAGTCTGCTGGACACGGGCACCGGTGTTGGCGTTGGCGGAGGTGAACCACATGCATTCCAAGCCCCAGAGCTGTCGGAGGAGACGCTGATGGATCGCGAGCATAACGAGACGCTGTCCAAGCTGAACTTTGTGCTGGCCCTCACCGACTGCATCCAGGAGGTGGCGGACTCGCGTTGCGCACCCCTCTCCACCCTGATGGTGGCCG